TTTTTTTTTTTTTTTTTTTTTTCTGAAATTGTGAAAGTATTGAAGAGTGCATTGTCAATTCTGTCCCCCATAACATAATAATACATAAAGGCAATTAAGTCTTTTAAATTTTTATCTTGAACAGCTGAAATCAAAGCGCTGATAAAAGCGACGTTTTCCAATTCAGCAGATTGAGAGCCAAAAAAGCTAATTCTAAAAGCTGTTTACCAAACATTCTTTTAGTTGATTGTAAATGATTAAACAACTAAATAGCTAAAAAAGTTGTTTTGTAGGCAAAAAACCATCAAACAAACGCAGCCTTTTGTCTTTTATTTTATTTTTTATTTTTTTTACATTAGTAAGTGCTGATCGACGAGTCAACTTTGGCCGATCCATTTTCGACAGGATGATATTATTTCAAATCATTCTTCGGAGCACCTTCAAATCAATTTTATTTGTGTCAATTTGACAACTTTTGTTGGTTTTGGGGGCAACTTGTTATTTTGGGCTCTTGGTTGACCTTATCGGTTGTGATCGACTCGAAGGAGATTACTCCACATGATGTGACTCGGCCTAGCCTTCGGGCATTTAGCGACAACTCAACTTGGCGATCTTGGATTTATACGGTCATGATGAAAAACAATGAGTGACCATCCGACAATTACAGGTTGATTGTTGGGGTGATGACTCGCAGGACCTAAGGATAAGATCTAAGAAGAAATCATATGGGATATTCTTGCCAAATCCACCCATAGTCCCCCAGCTGTTAGAGAGTTCGTTGCCGTTACTCTAGACTAAAAACTCCCACCTCTACGTTCTTATCGAAGGTGAGCTAATCAGTTCGTATTCTTGTTGAAGGTGGGTTAATAGAGAGATTGATAAGAGATCGTAGATCTGAATTTGATAAGATGGGAGGATACAAATAAGTGATATTTAGATATTTTCTTGGAGTTTTGATTTTCCCATCATAATAGTATGGATAGAAACAAGAGGAAGGTCGACTCTGCTGCCCTTTCTTTGAGAAGGAGAGTCGGTCATGCCGCCTTTCCTTTAAAACATAGTATACAGGCGAGAAACGCTATGAACGGAGGTTGTAGGTGGATTTCAGGCATGAAAATAAAAAGATGGAGGGCATGGCTTTTTTATAGGGAGAGGCTCAGAAGTAACCCTTGATGACCGTCATTTTTCTAGCTCCATTTTATTGACGGTCAATCGCCAACAGTTTCTGGTTACGTTTTAATGGTTGTTTAATTGTGGGCTTAGAAATAATTAATACAGAGAGTGTGATGGATTAGGAACCGTAATAATGCCAATAAAGTAAACTAAAAGAAAAAATACGAAAATAAAAAAAAAAACACCAGTTTTTCCGATCTGTAGGTGAGATCGACAAAGAGAGTAGAGTTCTCCAAAAAAATGTATTGAAAGTATGTGTATAGTGTTTACACATGACCGTTACTGTATTCGTGTTCTGAGGTGCATGAGTAGCCGTATTTATACACAGTAAAGGTAAATGTGTTATAAATTCTATAGGCAAGCTAAGGGCGTAGGGTGTCTACATGCTAGATCTTGACTCTTGATGATGAGACAAATTGGATTGTCTTTTTATCAGTATGCTTTAATGGTTTCATATTCACACAAGGGAGATCGTCATTCTTACAGGGGAAGATACAAGATTGGATCGACACATGTGAGGGATCGACCATCTAGTTTGGAGATCGGCACAACTTGCCAACGATGTTTTTTGGCCCGCTTCCTTCTTGGGTTTATCGGCCTAATAGGAGAAGACTTTCTTGACATCCATTTTTCCTGGTTTGAATAGGTTAGTTTTAGAATCCATATGAATTTTTTTATGTACAACATAGTTTTTTCAAAAAATTTGTTTTGGTACAATTTCCAAGTTTTTTTAAAAGATTTATATAAAGTATGATTGACTATAAAAGCAAATGTATTCTCACTAAAAAAAACTAAAACACGACAAGAAGAACCAAAACTCCAGACAATAAACTGCCAAAAACTAAAAAACATTAAAAAAATATATTTAAAAATTGTAAAATAAAATAAAAGTTTCTCTCTTCAGTCGAAGTTAACGCTATCACCTTAGCCAAAGATAACCTACAGATACAGAGCTTTAGGACACTACCACACTTTGAAAATAGTAGTTTGACACATCACAAGCTAGTGCTACTAAAAGAAACTCGAAAGTAAATATTGCTGCCCATAAATTTTAAAAATAAATGACTTGGATAAATCAAATTAAGCAAAACCAAAAAGAAGTAGGTCATTATTTGGGTCGTTCATAGATATTCATACATACACATGCTTCAAGCCATATATCAATTGAACTGAGTCGAGCTCAAGCTTCTAATACTTGAACTCGGCTCGTTACCTCAATGAGTCGATAAAAAAGCATGAGTTTGACTAGTTTATTAGTATTAAAGAGCTGAACTCAAACCTTAATGGATTGGCGTGAACTAATAATTCAAAAAATTAAGTAAACCCTATCTTCAACCTAGCGAACCTAAATGAGTCGACCTGAACTCCGCTTGTTTGATACTTAACTAGTCGAGTTGAGCTTAAGAACAACGCATTTTGTTTAACAACTCTTTCATGCTTGAGTGTTTAACAACTCTTTGATGTTTGAGTGTTTATAAGTGAACATCTTTTGACCAAATTGAAAACAACCCGAATCAACTAAGCCACTCCTGAAATGAAGGCTATAAAGAATCACAATATTACTATATACATAAAACATTTTGCCAACATAGTGTTAAAAATCACCATCAACAAGGCCACAACATGAAAACAACACTAGCTTCTATACATTTCAAACTTCTGTTGCCTTAATTCAATCTGTAATCTGATTTTCACAAACATAATACAATAAATCAGTTCTATAACAACACAAGTTTTTGCGAAATATTCCTTAAAACCACGGGACAACCCTTGTTCGTACAGTTCCTGTCACAGTATTATCGAACAGTTGAGCTGAAAAATGGTGTAAAATAATTAATCACTACTTCCAGTTCACCTCTAAACTAGTGATTATTCTAATTCATAGTTCATACAAATATAACACCAGTATCATACGGTATGGTGCCAGAAAATAAGCATAGTACCACACATACAAAGCTATCATCCGACCTTTCCTAACAATTTGCAACCACAAAGTGCACTCAGAAGAAAAACCCTGAAAGAAAAAAGGCAGTGGCGGCCAAAATCAAAAACACCTTTTAGTCACTGCAAAAATAAAATGGCCGAAGGAGACGGGAAAATGTTAGATCTTAAGACTCCAGACTCCAGCAGATCACCTCCCTTCAAGATTTGGAGAGAACTGCAAAAATGAAAAATGAGAAGGATGTCATGCCAACTAATTTTAAGAAACCAAGTCACCGGTGGATTTTTATTAAATCTGCAACATGTAACTTTTCACAACTAGACATAAATTTATAAATATAAGCAGGTAACGACAGGGAAAGAAAGCACAACGAAACATCTATTGATCTTCTCAAGTACATGAGCTACCCCTAGCATCTAAAGCTAAACCTGACTTGACCTTCTCAAATCAGATTGATGTCAAGGCTTTGAATCCCTCACTAGCACTTTAGTCCATAGACAACTTAAATTTATATTCCACCAATAATGCCTCAACTGGATGTTTCAGATAACTTTAACTAAGAAGTATGGTATTCTATTATCGGGTCAGCAATTTCCACTGCAAACACAAAAGGTACGCGAATCAGAACAATTGGGAAGAAAGTTACCAACTCTAGAGGAGTCACTATCCTTTTTTCTCTGGAACTGTTTCTACCAAGAACTCTTGAATGGTCCTCCAATAACGATCACCACCAGCCAACCATGTATCCATATGCATCCCAGTAGGGAATTCTACGAAAAAGCATTGGCGATTGCGTGCAGCTGCTTTAGCGTACAACATCTCCATGTGCGACGGGGGAACCATTTCATCTCTTAGTCCAGAAAGGAAGAGTATTGGTTGTTTGATCTGTCGTTGAGAATATCGGATATTAAGTAAATAAAGTTAACAAAACTCGTCTGCAGAAATGGCACAAATAAGCCAGCTATACCGCTTTCAAGTAAACACATACCCATAAATGCTTATAGATGACGTACAAACGGAGTTGGTGACAACAAGAAGACAAAATTCAGAGCCACAACAACATTTTGAAAAATGGACTGTGCATTGAACATAAAAGCATATTATTTCTGGTTCAAATTTACCAACCACCAGTCAACCGATACGATGTAACAAAATATATTTTATGACCAGCAAATTGAACTTGTGTTGAGCTCAATTTGGTCGTTAAAAAGACAGACATGCAAGTTTTATGCAACAAGTCAACTGGAGTCAAAATACATTAAAAGCCCAGTAGCATAATAAAAGCCACAGAGAGGAGCTTCATTAACATGTTGCCTCACCTCACCAACAACATCAATGGTGTTCCATGGGGAACGAACTAAAAAATTCAGAACTCTGGGACCCTTTGAGGTACTTTTTCCAATAAATAACTTCAGAAATGGTAATAGAACTCCAGCCATGTCCAGAATAGATGTGAAAGTGTTTTCCAATATCAAGGCAGCCACCTGCAATAACAGAGAAAGTAGAGACATGAAAAATGACAATAAAGGATGACGGACTAGCACTCTCCTGAAAGGTCTTCAGGAGATTACTTACAGACGAGACATAAAGTCTCTCAGAAAAATTTTTAAGTGGTTCAGCCTAAGGGAAATTCAGCCTTCAGTTTTCAGATGGTTATTTGAGTTAGAATCTGAATCATCATTGCTTATGTTTAAAATTTTGATATGTTAATTAGTTAGACAGTGCAATATGTTAAACTGCAATAAAGCTTGAATAGTATCATCATTCAGGCTAAAAATAATGATGGTTCTAAGCTGGCCAAATTTTTTATACCACTCCCAAGGCAGAAAAAGAGACAAAGTAAGCAATCCATGAATAGAAAAACTGCTCTCAGCTTGAACTGCTTAGTCTGCTTTTGAAACTAACTCGTATTTAGAGGCATCACCTTGTCAGGATTGTTTTTGGTTAGCACAGCCCCAACAGCTCCCCCAAGTGATCTTCCAAAGACTATAATTCTGGACGTATCGATGTCTGTCCTCTGAACCAGATGATCCAAAGCAGCCTACTTGAAAGGACATTGACAAGAACTAGATTAGGACATGTCCTGGCATATAGATCTTAAATCCAGAATCACAGGCAACTATCCTCCTCTCAGGAGAATAAAGAAAGCACTGACTAATGACTATAATACAATGGAATGCTTGTAAAATAACATATTCATGAAGCAAACCTGAGCATCCTTTGTAATACCATGCTGTGAAGGAAATCCATCACTAGCTCCATAACTGAGCATGCCAAAGCAGCAGAATGCAGTTAGACAAGAAGCATAGGTTGCAACCTCTAGAAACCCACCACACATCATAATACATTACGAGAACTTGGGTAAAGGAAGAACAGCACTAAAAATGAAGAAGGTTAATGAACAAATATAAGTGTTCAACCACTCAAGACTTTTGCAACATGTAATTTGAGGCATGATTAATGAGGAAGTCATCAAGAAATCTACAGAGTAATAATTACTAACCCTCGATAAGAAAGCATGAAAACGTTGCATTGCAGTTTCTGCAACATTACGTGAACCATTTCGAGACGATGAGCAATGTCTGCAATAACATAGTTAAGGATCTAAAACAGATTTATTCAAGTAAGCACACAATTCGACATTGCAAACAATTTGTATAATTAATATATTTTTAAAAATTAATTGTGAACTGAAAACAAAATAATGGAAGGATACTTCCTGCATTTTCCTGGAAAAAGAGAACAGTTGGACCTGCAAAACCCATTACAACAGGTCTTAGATTTATTGAAACCACACTGTACAAACCACAGACAAAAGAAAAAGAATAATAACAGCCGCAATATAATGAAATAACGAATAAGCCACCACAAGCTGCTGCAATTTTGCCTCAGATTTATTTTCTTCTCACTTCCCAGCATCATCTACATCTGACAGCTATTTGTGCATCATCAAATACCTATATCATCTACTAACCTTTTCTCCATTTTCAGTTGTTTTAATTATTGAAATACGAAAACTCAAACATAATAGTACGGCCTTCATTAACCGTGGCTCTTCACAGAAAGCACTCAACTTAGTAAATTATACCCAAATACATCTCCACTATATGTTTTGCTCTCAGTAGTAACATGTACCACTAACAAAGCAGTTCGTAAGCTGAATAAGTTATATTAGTAAAGATCAATGCAGTTCAGCTCACTTTAGTTTTTACGACAAACAGATGAGACTAAATACAACTAGAAATCATCCAAACTATAATTAGGTCAACCAGTACAGCAAAACAAAGTCATTAAAATCAAACAATGACCACAAACATAACTAACACTAGCTAAAAGAAAGACCCAGCTGGAGATATCTGAAATAAATTTACACACCATGCTCATTTGGGGCCTAAAAGAGTAACTTCCACATTTCCTCAATATTATTACTTCGCATTCAATCCTAACTCCATCAACTCAAATCAACTCATAACCAGGCTATGTAATCTTGGTTTCAAGTTCCCAACTACAACCACCTCACCGAAATCAACAGACAGCAAAGAAAGCAGTGATCAAAACCCTAAACAACCCACAATTATCCCCCTTTAAATCAGATTCAACTAAATCACACCTCGCTAAACAACAAAACGAACATAAAAACGCGAAAACATCATAAAAAAAAAAAAATAAACCTTTGCAGTCGGGGAAGAGCTTGATGAACCAGGAGTGGAGGCGGACGCCATCGGAGGACATGAGCCAGACATCCTCGTACAAGAGGCGGAGTCGATCTGGAGTGATTTGGTAGGACTTGGATAGCCCAGGCAGGACCGGCACGTAGACTAGCTTTTCCTGGAAGGCGACGAGCAATGCCATGCCCGCCACCACGATCCCCCCGACCCCGTACAACAACGCGCTCACGTACGACACCATGTGACTTTACGCCCTTCCCCTAGAAAGCTTCTTCTCCCTCTACTTTTTCCCTGTGTATAAGCTCGCGCGCATGTGTCCACGTACTTGTCGCATGTAGAGCTTTGTGCGGCCGATCAAGCACAGGGGGGGACTGTGATTGGGAAGAGCAGGAGCGGCGATCTTGGCTATCCGGGTTGGGAATTTGCGAAGAACGACGTCGTTTGGGAGATCGTTGCGCTGGTTCCTAATTTATTTAGTCGAAAACTGGAAAGTGAAACGTTTTTTTTTTTCGTCACACGTTTAGAGATGATGATAAGTCGTGTTTGCACGTGAATATGTTGTGCATTTTTCATTTGCTTGGTAGAGGGGACTAGTCATGAAAAATCACACTTGTCTAGTCCCCTCTACGAGATATAACATATTTGTATAGCACTCATATTAGCTTGGCAGATCGGTACCGGTCAGAGATAGTACTAGTTTGGTAGTGGGGGTTGACCCTGATATGCAAGTTGTCTTTAATCGAGTTGATAGTATAATCTTTACGAGATCCTATCAACTTGGTGCTCCGATGACCTGAAAAGCACCGAGAGGGGTCCTGACGTACATAATTCAACGTTCAAGTTAGTATATGTATACTTGAGGGAGTACTTTATAATGTATTAGGCGTGTATGTAATAGGTTAAGTGAAAAAATCTAGTTACACTTATATACCTAGAGTAGTCTATCCTCCAAGGGAGTCCTCGTTAGTAAAGATATTTTACTGTATCTACCTTTTTAATTCACTAGACTTCCAGGATCTTGAGACTTCTTAGCAAGATACACTCTCCATCTAGGAAGGACTTTTTCCCATGTTTTCCTATGGCTATTAGGTCTCTGTTATGAATGAGGTAGAGGATGGCTTTGGTGAGACATTGACTGTGCAGAATGGCAACGAGATGGCCGGAGAAAGGAAAAAGGCGACATCTTTGGGCAAGGAGAAATTAGGGTTTGGGAGTTCTGGAGTGAAGAATGATTTTAATTGATTTTAATTATGTTAGTAGGCTCTCATATGTAGTAGGCTGAAATTATATTATTTACTAGTTATGTTCAGTTTCTAGGAGTTGGGCCAATAAATAGTAATAGCCCGTTAATGAATAGTTAGTTTATTGCTTTGAGTTGGGCCTAGTCTGTTTAGCCCAATTTTCTATTTACTAGTGGGACCACTGAGTGTTGTAAAAGGAAAAAGGAATTTTCGTGAATGACAAGTTTTGCAGTTACAATTCTCACTCTCTCTCTACTTTCTCTCTCTCCCCAATTCTCTCTCAATCTCGTCTCTACTATTCCTGCAATACTTCCCTTTCATCTTCACTAAAAAACTCATACTAAATTCAGGAAAATTACAAAACAACAAAACGTAACAATTGGTATCCAGAGCCTGTAATCCTCGGCAGCAAATGGCAGAGGCAACTCGGTTCAAGGATCTACAAGAGGCACAGAAAAAATTGGATCAGTTTGTGCAAACTGAAGCAATGAAAAGAGAAGCATCTGAGCTAAAATTGCAAGATCAAATGGCACAAATAACCACAGAAGTAAAGGATCAGCTGGGTAACATGAATTCCACTATGAACAGCAAATATGACAACCTCAGAAACCCACTAGCTGCCATACAGCTACAACTACTCAACATGGGCAAAAGGCCTCAGGAGGAATCCATTCTGGGAGAAGGTCCTATGGGATCTGGGTTTGAAGGTAGTTTCTCCAAATTTCAGCAATCTCCTAGACCTAGGCTCCAATTTGAGCAGCCACACCCACATGTTATTAGCCCAGACCCAAAGGTTGATTTCCCCATATTTGATGGGACTCAACCTAGGGCTTGGATTTTGAAATGTAATGGATACTTTAAGTTGGTGCCTAACATTCCTAGTCAACAAAAGGTGACCCTCGCATCCATGCACTTTGAGGGTAAGGCAACATTATGGTACCAAAACTTCATTTCAAAGGAAGTGGATATTGACTGGGAGCAGCTTGAAGTGGTTTCAGCTAGGTTTGAGGATCTGAAGGAAGCCAAAATAATAGCAGAATTCAATAAGTTGAAACAAACAGGCAACTATGAGGATTATGTGGACAAATTTGAAGAGCTCAGGGCCTGTATGCTATTGCTAAATGGAGGGGGGGTACTCAGAGGAGTACTTCATAGCCAGCTTCATCAGTGGGCTGCCTGAAGAAGCCCAAGCTTTCATTGCTATGTTTGAACCCTCAACACTTCAACAAACAATAGAATTGGGGCTAAAACAAATGAACACCTTGGATGCAATCACCAAGAAGCTTAGGGGGCCAAACAGGGTAACATACCCTACTTATACCTTAGCTAAGAGACCTGAAAAAGCAACCCTACCACCAACAAGGACTACAACTCAGCAAAAAGCCCCTGTCAAGCTTCTCACTGGAAATGAAATGGCAGCTCGAAGGGAGAAAGGCCTGTGTTATAATTGTGATGAAAAGTTTACTTATGGGCACAGGTGCAAAAATAGAATCACCTTCATGATTATGACAGAAGAAGAAGAGATGGCTTACATGCAGGGTGATTTTGAGGAAAAATCAGAGGATAATGAACCATGTAACTTGGAAGAGGTGCAAATGACTCTGAACTCCATTTCTGGGGAGAGTGGGCTCACTACCATGAGGCTAACAGGGAAAGCTAAGGAACATCAATTACATATTCTTGTGGATTCGGGAAGTACCCTTAGTTTCATCAGAGAACAAACAGCTAAGAAATTGGGGAGTACACTAGTAGCAGCTAAACCCCTACTGGTTAAGGTAGCCAATGGCCAACAAATGGTGAGTTCACAAGCTGTGGAGGGTTTTGGGTGGCAAATGCACAACCAGGAGTTTAATTTTCCACTTAGAGTTTTGCATCATGAAGGGTGTGATCTTATCTTGGGAGGGGATTGGCTTAAGGCATGCACTCCCATTGAGCTGGACTACAAAAGGATGATTATCACAATGACGTTACATGGAAAAAGGGTCAAGTTACAAGCCATCACCAGCTTAACTGAATGCAAGATGATATCTAGACATGCCATGTTCAAGATGATGCATGAACTAGCTCTAGAGGAGATTGAGGAAATATTTTGGGTAACTATACCAAGTCCCATTCAGGTTTCCAACCCAGAATTGGAGAATATTATGGATAAGTATGCATACATATTTGAGGAACCCAGGGAATTACCCCCTAGTCGAGGAGTGGAGCATCAAATAATCTTAAAACCAGGAAGTTCACCTAAACATCAGTATCCTTATAGAGTCTCTCATGACCAAAAAACTGAAATTGAAAGAATTGTGCAGGAGTTGCTCGACTCTGGGTTTATACAGCCCAGTCATAGCCCATTTGCTTCTCCTGTTTTGCTAGTTAAGAAGAAGGACTCCACCTGGAGGCTCTGTGTTGATTACAGGTACTTGAATGGACTAACCATCAAACATGATTACCCCATTCCGGTGATAGAAGAACTTCTGGATGAATTACATGGTGCTGAATACTTTTCTAAAGTGGATCTAAGGTCTGGTTATTTCTAGATATTAATGACCCCTGAGCATAGGTCATTAACAGCCTTCAACACCCATAGTGGGCAATATGAATTCTTGGTGATGCCTTTTGGGCTGTGCAATGCACCAGCCACTTTTCAGTCCCTAATGAACCAGGTATTTAGAGCAGCACTAAGAAAATATGTGTTGGTTTTGTTTGATGACATCCTAGTGTACAGCAAAACCTGGGCAGAACACTTGGTTCATCTAGAAGAAGTGCTCAACACACCGAGGGATAACAAGCTCTATGCAAAAAGAAGCAAATGTCAATTTGGGCAGCAAGAAGTGGAATATCTGGGGCATATAATTACTCCCACTGGAGTATCCACTGACCCTAGAAAGATTGCTAATATGGTGGATTGGCCAGTACCCAAAACCATCAAACAGCTGAGAGGGTTCTTGGGACTTACTGGATACTACAGAAAGTTTGTAAAGGGGTATGGCATCATCAGCAAACCCCTCACCAACTTATTGAAGAAGGACCAATTCAAGTGGAACTCAGAAGCAGAGGAGTCTTTCCAGAAACTGAAAAGAGCCATGGTCACTACCCCAGTTCTAGGGTTGCCTGACTTCACTCAGCATTTTGTAATTGAGACTGATGCCAGTGGTACAGGAGTGGGGGCTGTGCTTATGCAACAAGGAAGACCTTTGGCTTACATGAGTAAGACTCTCTGTCCTAGAAATCAGAGTCTATCCATCTATGAGAGGGAATTTTTAGCTGTTTTGATGGCAATACAAAGATGGAGACACTATCTAATGGGGCATTAATTTATAATAAGGACTGATCAGTAGGCTTTGAAGCATTTATTGGACCAGAAGATCATGACCCCAGTGCAGCAAAGGTGGTTAACTAAACTACTAGGGCTTAACTATGAAATTCAGTACAAAAGGGTACTGAGAATAGGGCAGCTGATGCCCTTTCTAGGAAGTCTAATGTGGACACCCAACTTTCAGCAATCACCACTGTCATACCCACCTGGACACAACAAGTGACCAAGAGTTATGAGGGAGACCAATTTTTCCAAAAGATTATATCTGCCAACACTATTGATCCTATGGCCTACCCAGATTTTAAATTCATTAATGGTCTGGTCAGATATCAAGGAAGGTTAGGCATTGGGGAGGACCAGGAATTCAGAAAGCAAATATATATGGCCATGCATGACTCTGCATATGGAGGACACTCTGGCATTCAAGGGACCTACATGAGGATGAAGGCTGTGTTCTATGGGCTAGGGTTGTAAAAAGATGTGGAGAGATGGGTAAAAGAATGTGAGGTCTGCTGTAAGAACAAATCAGACCATGGTACCTATCCTGGGTTGTTACAACCACTACCCATCCCAGAGGCCTGGTCCCACATTTCTATGGATTTTGTAGAGGGACTCCCTAAGCCTTGGGGGAAGGATGTAATTTTGGTCATAGTTGACAGGCTGACCAAGTATGCTCATTTTGTAAGTCTA